CGGGCAGCTGAGCCCGGAGATCAGAGACAAGGCCCAGGGATTCCTCCAGAGTGGTGAGTGTCCTCCCACCCCTGCGCCCCCAGGGCATGGCGGGGCCATGTGAGGGCCCTGTCCATGCCACCTCTGGGGCCCGGGTTCCAATCCAGCCCCAGATCAGGGCCCTGGCTGACTCTGGGGGTCAGTGAATTAGATCCTTGGCCTTTCCTCTCTGGGGCACCAGTCCCGAGGCCCAGGTCATAAGGACTGTTTGACTCAGGGTTCCGGAAATGGGAGAGGAGCCCTTTCCCCCCTAGGAGGGGGCGCTGGTTGGGATCGAGCCCCAGGTCAGGGCGCTGGAGCATTTGGGGGGATCGGGGTCCAATTCAGCCTTAACTCCATCCCCGTATTCAAACCGACCCCTGGAATCTCTGAGTCTCAGCGTCGTGGGGGAGGGGAGGGCTGGCGGGCCCCACGGGGCGCAGGCTGGGGGTGGATTCTAGCCCCTCGGGGGGTGAACGGATCCAGGACTCGCTGTCTCTCTCCCATCCCTGCAGGCTACGAGCGTGAGCTGCTCTATAAACACAACGACGGCTCTTACAGCGCCTCTAGGAAGAGAGATGCCAGGGGCAACACCTGGTGAGGGGCCGCACGGCACGGGCGAGTCAGAGCTCTGGGTGGGCAGGGCCTACCGGGCTGCAGCCTGACCCCCAGCCCCACTGCTATTCCAGTCCTGCTCCCCACACAGCTCTGCCCCACATACTCACTCCAAATCCTCCCATTCCCATATTGGGCTCCCCTGACATCTCTGCTCACCCCCCACAATGCTGACCCCCAGCCCCGTCCCCCACGCACCTCCCTCCTGGCCCGCAGCATCTCCTGCAGAGTGTCCCTCTCACGGGGTCTCTCCCCACCCAGGCTGACGGCCTTCGTTCTCAAGTCCTTTGGCCAAGCCAGGCCCTATATCTCCATTGATGAGAAGCACCTAGAGGATGCCCTAGGGTGGCTGCACAACCGCCAGCGGAAGACCGGCTGCTTCCGCAGTGTGGGGAAGCTGTTGAACAACGCCCTGCAGGTGGGATGGGGGAGGAGGGGAGAAGCTGGGGAAGGGGTTGGGGGCCCCCCATGGCAGCTGGTTGTTGTCACTCGTGTCGGTTTGGGGGATTTCCCTGGGTTTTTTAGCAACGGCTGAATGGCTGGAACGGCCGGGGCAGCGGGTTCTTGCACCGAACGAGGGAGCAGCCCTGGCCCAGCCCCCCTGGCTCCTG